AATAATTGTAAATTAATTTATTTTTATAAAAAATAAAAGTGTTACTATAGTGTAGTGTATTTTAAAAAATATATTAACAAAAATGTAAACTAAAATTGTAAACTAAAAATAAAATAAGATAATTAAATTGTCAGTGTACTTATAAAAAATATAGATTGATTTTTAATACAAAGATCAAAAATGAAGAAATTGGAAAAGGTAGAATAAAACAAAACACAATCATAATATCTGCAATGTAAAATATATTCTATCTACATCTAGCACGAATGTAAACGATCACGATCTACGATGTAGAGAAATTTGACGTAAAGATGTTTTATTCAATATTTCTGCCGAATCGCGGGTGCCCGTACTCTTCATCGTTGCTATTAGTTCGCTTGCCGAATCTCATATGACCATAGTCATCCAGTTGCTGGCGCTTGCTAAGTTGTAAAATATCTTCGTCTTCACCGACAAGATCCTCCACAAAATCCTTTACGAGACCTTCCACGGCGTATCTGCGGCACATATATAAAATCATCCACTGCAATAAGTCACTGTTAATTTTTAAATCCTTAAGGACACCTATATAACACAGAAATTACCCGCGAATATGTGGATGATTTCTTAAGTTGCGATGGACACCAGTGGTTAATCCGGGAGCTGCTTTACATCGTCCACAAAACAACCACATAACCGCAATCATGCACGACAGCGCAAGAGTCAGATTCATATCTGTGATCATATTCATCAATTTTCGTTTTATCATAAATTTTTGTCAAAGATATATAGATTATTATTCACTAATATATTCATTATTTTCTTGTATCAAATCAAACACATAATTTCAGAATAAAGAATAAAATATTTTTTATTTTTCTCTGAAATTTACAGAATTAGATCTATAAAATTGACACAAATATTTCTAACAAACGCTACAATTCAATCTATTTGATTTTTGCTTTCTACAATTGAATTTAATTAATCCACTTCATTATAATGTAGAGTTATGCTTTAAAACAAAATATTACTAACACACAAGAAAATTTTGTAAATGTGTAAATATATTTTATTTTTATTAAAAAACATATGCTTTATGTATACAGTTTTATTAAAAATAATTAAAAAGACATCTATACAAAGTTTACATATATAATAAAGTATTATAATATGTCACATTAGGGACAACGAATAAAATTTAGTTTTGATATTTAAATATTACAATAATATATTAGTTTTCTTTTTTTTTAGAAAATATTTAAAAAGTTATTTAAGTTTTATATGTTTAGTCATTTAAAATGACTAAGTAATTAAAAAATAATAATTTTG